TTGTTGTGTGATTTTTTGTGTGTTTTTTTTTTACTCTTGATTTTAATGCACTCTTCTTTGTTTTGCGGTATGCTTTGCCAAAGCTTCCTTTAATCCCAATTTTATTTGCTGTGTTTACCTTAGCTTACCCTGTTTTCTTGTTATTTTTGTTGATTTTCGGTGCTTTTTTTTCGAATAGTAGGCGTTGTCATGTTTGTTTTCGGAGTATAATCATTTTGGGCCCCAAAGGAAATTCACATAATTAGTTTTAATTTTATACCCATTACCGCTTGGATTAAGGACTTGAGCTTTTATGTGGGCGTTCACAAGGAGTTGTGCTGTCTTTTAAAGTAATAAGAGGTTTGTGTAAGTTTTAATGACTTAATTTAGTTGGTTATTTAATGGTAAGATGCCTATAAGTTGACTATGGATCAAATGGCAGCTTCTCATAAGGCGCACACTTTTGACATAGCGTTTTTTAGGTTGGAAATGAATACAAACATCCAGATGTTTGATAATCAAAAATTTTTAAAAAAATTTTAATTAAATGTCCAAAATGACAGTGGTGACAAACGCTTCCCTTATTAAATTCACTTAGCTATTTCTTTCAATGACACACTGACCATAACTTAGATAACAGTTATTGAAGACTTTTATTTATAAAAGTCAACAATAAAAATCAGTCACCGCTTTTTATTTTTTAAGTCATACATATAAAAGTCATTAATATTTTTCGCTGTTAATAAGGTGGTATAAATAAAAGTCTTCAATAACTGTCATCTAAGATATATAATTCAAAAAATCAAAAATAACTATTATTTGCTGATTATTGAAATAAAAATCAAAAAATAATTGTTATTTTGGATTCATAAAATAGAAATCAGGAAAAGCTGTTATTTAAGGAGTAATTAAATAAAAGTCAAAAAATAATTGTTAAAGGGCAATTTTTAAATAAAAAAAATCAAATACCTTGACGTAGTGCTAGAGCGCCTCAAAAGGCAGGTGGAAAGAATACCCCCAGAAATGTCCACCACTTGGTAGAAGTGCTGCCATGAAACCCCTTTTCGAAAGCATTCCCTGTGTCACAAAACTGCCCACAACTTTTAAGTTGGTTCTTTTTGTGAAATTTTTTGAGAAAGTTTACTCCACTCCCCGTTTAATCAGCCCTTGTAAAGGGACCATCAGCTCTTAGGTGAACCCAAGTTTGCCGCTTAGTCATTTTTGAGATCTGTTAGTAGTTTTGCCAAAGGTTTCAAAGCCACTGGAATACTTTTCGAAAGAAGATGTTTTCGCAAAGAAAATTATCTTCTTCTACTCTCTTTGTAAATTATATTTACGTATTAACTACATTTGAGGGCCGGATGAGCGCTGGGTTAGGGCCTGGGTAATAGGAGTACGGTTATGGGGTGAAAGAGGCGTAAGTAAGAAATGAGAAGTAGCGACAGCATTTCCACGATAAATTACAGTTTACACAAACGCTACAATTCACTTTTACAAAAAATTAAAAACGCAAAGCCGCAGTTCAAGAACAAAATAAGGGAAATAAAAGTACAAATAAAAAACCACAACGAAAAACTAAAATAAGTAGCAATTACGCATGAAAAAATTCACACAACAAATTTAAGAGAAAAAAAAACAAAAATCTACAAAAAAGTATTTCAAAGGTTTTCTAGGAGATGCGTGCTTATATCCTTGCACACCCTTACACACAGGCTATGAGTGAAATGGCATGGTGGAATTAGAAAATTTACGATTGCACGTCAAAAGGAACATAAGGGCGAGTTACTTAAGAAAATATTATTAGAAATGATCAGGAAAGCAGGAAATTGTTACGTGATTTGAGCCCACAAACACTAAGCAAAAATAAAAAAAAATCAAGCAAAAAAGAATTGGAGAAAATCATTATGCCAGATAATTGGATTTGGGTAACAACAAAAACACTGTAGGGCTAACGTAGATCAGTCAGGAAAATAGTGAATGGAATATTGATAATATTTTTAAAGATGTGGAAATACTTTGTGCCATCGAATTGAAAAAAAACAAAATGCAAAAGCTTCTAGTACATGCGCATTTTTTTGCACGCGTTTACTCTCTTCAAAAAAAATAATAATAATCACTGAAAGACAAGCGAAACCACAACGTCAAGCTCATCCGATCAATTGCTCAGAATATTGCAACACCAAACTGCGACACTAACAAGCAATGACAAATTGATGGTGTTAAAGCTCATTAAACGATTCACCCCAAATGTCAAAGGGTGCCTTAATCACTTTGTCATTTGGCCCCCAAAAAAAACATAATAATACACTTGCAATAGGAGGGGACATTCCCCCTCAAAAAAAAAGGTGTTGTATAGACAACCAATTAAGCTTATAACAAATTTATTTTCAGTTCACCCGGATTACCCACAAAAAAGCGCAGCCGCTAGTGCCGCTTCGCAAGAAGATGCTGTTGTGGTGACGTTTTGTCGGCTCAGCTCAGCTCATCGCACACTCAGTGGCGGCTTTACGGCTACACTGCGGTGATCTTGACTTTATGTTGCACCTTTTTGCGGATTAAGAGTGTGTTGTTGCTGTTGTTGTGGTTGTTGTTAGCCCAAAAGCGAAATTGACAAAGACATGCGATTTGACGTAGATTGTGCGGTTTTCGGTTCCTTTAGCCCTCAGCATTTGTATGCCGGTCGCATTTTGTGCGTTTTTCCCCCCGCACTCGCACTTTAATGCGGCCATCGTCGAATCGATGCACTCATTGGCAGGTATTCAGTCGCTGCGTGCGGCTCCACTCATTCATGCATTTATTTGCCCATTATTGGTGCCCTTAAAATGCATCCTTCCTTTTGCTCCACTTGCCCATCGCTTCCTCTCAGCCTCTTCTTAGCAGCTCCAGCTCTTTGGCAGCTGCACGCAGGTGGCATTTTCACGCGGCCCTGTGAAATCGCTTACACTTCGCCCTGTGTTTGAGTGCACCGTATCACAATCTTCGCCTCGTTTGACCAAAACGCCTGGCTCGTTGTGCCTCTTTTGTTAAAGTTGCGAATTTAGGATTTTCGGGTAGCAAAGTCGACAATTTGTATAATTGACAAATTGACTGGTCACTTTGTCTGCAGTCGAAGGAGACGCAGGAGGTACATATGTAAGGAGTGCGTAGATACAGCAGCAGTACGAATCGATCGATTGCACGTGGGAGCCAATACAAAAGACGCCGCTAACAAGGTGAGAGAAACGGAAGCTTCTTTCATGTGATAATTTCACAGCTTTTCATGTTTGCAAATGATTACAAGTAGGCCTAAGTGTGTCTGTGTATGCGTGCGTATGTTTCAGCATAAAGGGATTAAAAATCGAGTTAACTATTAATCACTGATTTTAGGGCTTTCTTGTTTACTTGAGAGCAAGTCTTCACCTGCTTATTTGAAAACAAGTTAACACAATTAAACAGAAAAGACAAAACGAATGTGCAGATCTTGATTGAAATAGGAAATCTGTTGAACTGGCAATAATCAAACGGGTTTTATCCTCCGTATAAGAAGAACAAATACTGTTAACAGACAAACTTAGAGCATCTTCATTCAGTATCCTCTCGTCATGATGGAGTTTGGCAGGGAAATCCATTGTCACACTTTTCACCTGGAGATCAGGCTCAAACTGGACGCCTACGTTTACGGCGCAAAGATACCGACGGTCAGCCTTCCCAAAACCCTAGCGCGGTCTCGTCTCCTACGCAGCGCACGCGTTAGCTGCTTGTAACAAATTTCGAGCCAGCAACAACGTCCTCAAGCCCCTTGCCGGCAGCACTTGAGCAGTCGACAAAGAGATCATGCTCATAATATATGTATAAAGGGCTCGGTCGGTCGGTGGCTAACTACGCAGCGCCAATGTGATTGGCAAGAACGAGCGACGTCCAGTGGAGAAACTTGCAAACCTACCAGAATGCAGTTCTACGTACCGCTACAGGCATCACTTTCACGAAGAAAGCCAGAAAGAGCACAACACCATGCCATCACCGTAGAAACCACCCTAACAACGCTCTGTGCTTCGAAACGGTCTTGGTGCTTGTCTGTTACCTTCTATGTAACTGAACTTTCGGTACAAAAGTATTAAAAGGCACAAATTTAGTAAAGAGAAAACTAGCGAAGGACTTGCCGCCACTATCAACGAGGTTGTCTAGTCGTCCAGTGTTCCGATCGCTGCTAGGCTATCAGAGTAGATAGTTACTGAAGTCAGGTTAAAAGCCTTTGCCCAGTAAACGCATACGCTGATTGTTCACCGTCCTGCAACTCCTAGCAATATATTCCCTAATTTATTAGAAGACGGCGAAAGTCCAATACATGTCGATCCAGCTCAACATGGAGCACTGACTTGCCCACGATCGCTTCGGGAGAATATTGTTGGGCTTGGCATGGTAGCTTTTTGAAGCTCAGCTGGAAAGACGCCATCTCACCCAGGGGATTTGACGGCCATTTCGAAGTGCCATCATTTGTGTAACTGTGTAGCGACATCAGGACGCACAAGGGCAAGCACCAAACGAGGGAAGTGAATATTAACAAGAAGCCCAAGTATATCGTCTTGAGATGTAGGCCACTCGCCAGTTGGCTTCAACGCGTAACTGGGATAGAATGGACATTTTGATAAAGTCATTTATAACTGGTTGCCTTCCAAGTGTTCCACAATATATCACAGAAGTATTGCCATCAGGTCCTAGGAGCTCTTTGGACGGTTTCTTGTTGGCATACCATGATCGGTCGCGTATCGTCTTATTGCAGAGTCTTCTGTTCCTCTTCCTCATCGATTAAGATATTTCTTTTTTAAACTTGGTAACCGAAGTCGGTACAGAAACCGCATTCCCAGCTTATCTTACTTAGGAGAGTGCTGCTGGACGGATTCATAGGCAGGATAGTGTTCGTCTGCAATATATGACCGAAACACTGATCTAGTTTGAAGCCTTAAAGAAGTTATTGACAACAAAAAAAGATATTTTTTTTAAGAAAATACTAGTTATTTACTTAGTACATATTTGTCTTTTTTATTTTTTTTTTAACTATAAACAGGCTTAGGTTTTTTGTCTTCCGGTTTCATTATGTATACAAAATTTTACTCCCTCTTATTTCTAACAATTCTTACTAATCTTAAATAAATATTTTCCAACAAATTCACACTTACTTACAACTATGGAAATTTCTATAATTCAACACAATTTTAAACTTAATTTGTATTTTCTAACTCAGTCATTTGCATCTCACAACAACAACAAAAATACTGCTACGGCTACATACATACGTCTTCATTCGGCGCAACCACTACGTTGCACCATCATCGCATTTCGTTTTAGCGCAACAAATCGCCCAGCGCCGATATATAAGTTTGCGCCATTTGTAGCGTCTCGTGCTTGGAAAGCTGACGATCGTTGCCCAGACAGGGCAGGTATTGCCGCAACCGATCGAAGGCCTGATTCAGATTCTGCATGCGACGGCGTTCTCGCGCATTTGCCGCCAAGCGACGCTTACGCTTGATGACCGGCGAGATTTGTTTGCCGCGACGCTTCTTAGTGCCGGATTGCGCGATGCCGGCGGCTGCGCCCTCTGTCTGCATTGTGCCGGATTGGTCGACCAGCTCGAAAGAGCCATCAGCGCCTTCGAAATCATCGTCAGCGCCGAATAGTAGCATATGATCGTCAACTTCGTCGTCATCGACGCTATCGCCATCGAATAACGCGGCGGCGTGATCAAAATCGAAACTTTGGAAATCTGACGTGTAGGCGTTGTTGGTCGTTAAATGTGGATTCGCGCTAATCGCAGCCGCGGCATTGGTGGCTATGGAAACGATGGTGTCGCTGGAGATCGGTGGCAATTGAGCGGACGAGGTTGGCACTGTTTTCGGTGTGCGGCGTGTGTAGGAACGCTTTGCTTTGGTTGTTACACTGCTATTGCTGCTGCTGCTGCTGGTAGCTCCTTTGGAGGGACAGGCTTTTGTGACTGCAGTTGATGACGCTGCTGTTAATCCTGTTAGCTGTGTAGACGACGCTGGCACTGACGGAGATTCCAAATGCAGGCCGAATTGCGTAACAGTTGCATGCAGTGCATGAGCGCCATTGTGTATGCCGTTCGCATAGATGGTATTGAGATCCACATACTCAGGACTTTCGGAACGATGACTCGCGGGGGAGGAGGTAATCCAGCCATCGGAAGATGCCTGCTCGAAGGTGATGAAACCGTTGGTCGGCAGAAAATTGTGGGTGGGAGCACAATTGAATTGTTGCTGCTGCTGCTGCTGCTGTTGCTGCTGTTGATGATTATTATTGCTGTGGCTAATCAATGGCGGTGGATTGTAGGCGCCCATTGGATTAAAGTACGTTTCGTTCGCATTCGATTTGAATGCCTGTAAATCCTCGGAAGTTTTATAATAGTAGCGGTATATCTCACTGGACGACATCTTGGCTAAATGTGTCGTTTTATTTCGAACTCAAGAAAATCTTAATTTAAAACAATATACAGACTGCGATGCAACCTTCACGTACACGTCCTGTATGCGTATGCCTTCGTCGGCCTGCTGGTGGCGATATTTATATCGATTCCCTTATTCACTTGCAACTCACCACAGTCGGCCGGCAAGGTAGACGACAGGTAAAAACCTAAATGAAGTGTTCTCTCTCACGGTGGTTGCCAGCCAGTCAGTCCTTCTTAGCCATTGTTTTTGTACAGCGTTTATGCGCTTGCCATTGCCAGTGGTTGGAGCCTTTGGATTGGGCTGCGTTTATAAGGTTTCATCTACGCCAGCTGGTGCTGGTGTCTTGGTATACATGTGTTGGAATTTAATGTTTCAGCAAGCAACAACAACAAATACAATAACAACGCTTACCAACAACATTTAATGCAAGGTTCAATGTGGCTACAAAAAATCAAACGAAAAGCAACAGCACGTGCTCTCACATACCTTCCCATGGCCAATGAGGCGCTGCACTCTGCTCTGGCGCTGTGGTGGAAAAGATTTGTGCGCTTCGCTGATTGGCCTGTCAAACGCTATGTAGAAGAAGCATGTATTTGTACAAGAGTATTTTTTCATTCGAATATGCACTCAGTGGATTGCATGGGGGCATACGAATTAAATACTCAAAAAAATACCGTTTTTTTTTATTTACAGTAAATGTATGGGTAGACATTTTATATTAATAAAAACTAGACAAAGGAAATTTTGAGTTTATTAATTAATTTTTGAACAAGAAACATTTTTGTTATACATACAACCTCCCTGAAACAAGCCAACTTAGGAATCTCCTCTCAAATGGTCCTTAGCAGTGGAACGTGTCTTAATACGATGAGCTCCTTGACGAATCAAGCAATCAAGCACTCCGCTATATTCACATGTTTCTAAGGAGTCGGTCTCAGTGTAAATCCAGAAAAAACATACTAAGTGCTCCTTACCAAAAAAGAAAAAAGCTCAGTTAGTCTTGACTTCATTTTCGTAACTTAACTTAACTTGACTTAACTTAATATTTTGGCCAACTTGCTAAATGAGAAACTTAGTTAAGAAACTTAAGAACCTCTAGATTTTAGATTCTTAATTTATGGCTTCCGTGAATTTAGAGCGGTGAGAGAATCAGGCTTTCCATATTTTCGCTTTTGTGTTTCTGAAAAATTTAAGAACGGAAAATTTTTTTCGGAAGAATTCTTTTGATGTGGCATCAAGGACGACGAACAGCTGAAAAAGAAAATAAAATAAAAATATTTTCGTTTCTGGCTTAAGTTGGCGTGTTGAGTAAATGCTCAGTTAGTCTAGACTTAACTTAATTTAACTTACCGTAAGAAATCATCAATGATTACTCAACACGTCAACTTAAGCCAAGAGCGGAAATATTTTGTTTTTGTATTTTCTTTTTCAGCTGTTTAACAGTTCGCCGCCTAAAATGCCACATCAAAAAAAAATCATGCAAACAAAAATGTTTGCTTTCATTTATTTTTAAGAAATACAAAAATGAGAGTCTGGCAAGCCTGATTCTCTCACCGCTCTCAATTGCCGTAAGGCCGTAACTTAGGAACCTAAAATCTACAGGTTCTTAAGTTTCTTACGTTAAGTTAAGTTTTAACTAACCACCAGTACAGTTTCTCATATAACAGGTTGGCCAAAATATTAAGTTAAGTTAAGTTTCGGAAATTAAGTCTAGACTAACTGAGCTTTAATAATTGACGGTTTCTTACGGTAAGTTAAATAAAGTTAAGTCTAAACTAACCGAGCTTTTAACTACTGCAACGATACTTATATAGTATGACTCAAGCTATGTGGCCAGAGTATACGTAAAAGCGCCATCTCCCTTAGCAAGTTAGTTAATGCAGTTGGACAGCCCAAAATTCCTAACCACCTTATCTTATAACTTCTAAGCATCTTGATAGACGTCGGCATAATTAGAAGATCGACTGTGTATAAAATAAACCGTTTCAGCCTTAGTCTAGCCAACGTCGGAAAATTAACACACAAAATATGTTCCGACTTTACTTGTCTTCAAGTCAAAAATGTCATTCCGTCTCTGTGATCCGGCCAATCCGCATGCATGTGTCGAAGAGCCTGGCCTGTCTATCACTGCCTTAGATAGGACAGTCTTTTTAGCATTGCATTCTCAATTTACACACTCTGTAATTGTCAGTTTAAAGGTCGCCGCCGACCTCCTTTCCTTCGATCACGCATTAGTCTTATTTTCAGCAAAGTATTGTCATGTTTCTCGTTGTCAAAATTTCCAACTCTCATATTTTACCCAAAATAAATACATTTCTGTTGCTTCTTCTTATAAATATTATGAAAATCACAGTCTCATATTTTCATTTTCATCCCACACAAGGCTGTGCTGCTTGTTACCCGATGTTGCGTATGAAGTCCAGTTGATCCTGTGACCGAGAGTTTAAGCCAACCTTTGAAGTTTATTAAAACTTACCACAGATACAGGTCGGCATATGTAGCTATTTAAGGCATGACCGTATAATAAAAAAGGACAGTATGTAGTAGAAACCGGCTTTAAGCCAAATATTACAACGAAATCAAATCAACCTGAGTGCAAGTCGATTGATTACGCCCACTTAATACCAAATCGGAATACCGAAGACCACCGTCATTGCGAGTATTTCACTACATTACATTTTTACAAAGTCATCATTTTCGCTAATTACTAATTTATATAATATAAAGAAATCTGTTGAATCACGCGTCGGTACAGCCTTCTCACACAATTTAATTAAATGAAACGGACAACCACAACCACGAAAGTAGTAATCTATGGGGATACGGGTATAAAAAGAAATACTAAATTCGTTGCTAAACTGCGAGTACACTTTAAATAAATAATAGCCGCCTGCAATAGGTGGCGCCTTTATTAGATGCGCTGGCGCAGTAGCCACATATGTACAAACGTACTCATATTTATAAGGATTGTGACCAGCGCACGTGCGGCAACGTTCAAAAGTCTTGCGATCGCCAAGCGAAGAAGGGACACAGCCGCTTAAGTGCGCAACCACAGCGGATGAAGGCAAATTTGCCAAGTTGTAATAAACAAGATGCTGCATTGCGATATTTGAAAATGAGCGCATCGAATCTGGCAGTGCCCACAGTTAGTGTATTTAGACCTCGGCAACTACTTTTTTTTTTGAGGCTGTGTACTTTTCCTAGTTGTGTGGACATACAGGTATGCTCGTAGAAGATATTAATGATGGCGTTGTAGTGCGAAGAGCAAATTTTTCGGCAAGCTACAAAGCCAGCGCACAACAGCACAAATATAGATAGGCAATCATAAAAACATATTTATGTATGTGGGTACACATGCTGTTATGTCCGAGTGATAAGAACTGCAATTTTCTTGTTTTTTTTTTTCTTCCTTCACTAATTCTAAGCCTGCTGCTTACATATGTACATGTGTATCGCCTTAGCGCCAAGTGCTGACAAATTTTCACTCATCCCTATTCATTGCATTGAATGAGCACGCGCTCCGTTCTCTCGTATCTCTCGTTTGCATCCTTGCCATTAAAATCCCTTGTTAGCGTCTGTGTTTATGGAAATTTTACTACTTATCCTTTTTACTCTGCTTTGCCTTAAATATATGTATTCTTTATGAATTAGTTTTGCTGATTTCATAGATTTTGCGGTGAGATAGTTCCAAGCTTATTACAGTTTTCCTGTTATGTTTTTGCAAAGCAGAAGGAAGCGAAGCGCCGTCTTATTTGTGTTTCCGAGCTGCGTGAAATGAGCATTTTTGTCTTTGTTCCGGTAACCCTCGTGACCCTATAATTATCTCATTGAGTTTTCGATACGAAATTATGATTCTTTAAAGATATTTAACTTATGAGGAGGGGCTCGCATTGGGATGAGCATTAGGATGCTCCAGAACTTTTTTTGTCAACTAAATTCTTACTGATTTAATTTCATTTTATCGGGACCAGGACACGACTTTTTCATAATCACTTCGGGAAGGGATCAACTAGGTAACTAGTTTCGAACTACAACGAATAGTCCCAAAATTGTTCAGAAGTAGTCCTGAAGTGACTCTGAAGAAGTCGTGAACTTTTCCCGAAATGATCTCGAATAAATCTTGAAACAGTTCTGAAATGGACTCTTACCATGGTCCAAAAATGATACCGAAATACTCGTGCACTAGTCTCGAAATGGTTCTGGAATAGCTCCGAAATGAAATAGTCTGGAACTAGTCCCGAAATTGTCCTAAAATAGTCCTGAACAGATCCCGAATTGTCGAAAAAGCCTTGAATTTGTCCCGAAATTATCTGGAACTAGTCTTAAAACGGTAGAGCGAAAATTTTGCTAAATAGTCCTGAACTAAACTAAAATGAATACGAACTAGTCCCAAAATCTTCCTGAGATAGTGCTGAGGTAGCTTCGAAATTGTCCAGAACAAGTCCTGATACGGTCCCGGAATGATCCTGAACTAGTCCCGAAATAGTGCCGAATAAGCCCCGAAATGGTCTTGAAATAGTCCTGAGATAGTCGTGAAATGTTCATTTGTACACACAAGAAACCGTTATAGATTTTCTGCTGGAAGAAGAAAAGTGCAGCAGAAAGTAATCGGCTACTGTGTGAGATTTCCCATGAATTTCAACTTGTAAGTACTGGTTCTGACTGCAGTTGCGATTGAAAACCATTGGTATAGTCCAGGAAGTCGGAAACTTGGATTCTATTGTCACCAGCGATGAAAAATGGACTCGATACGACAATACAAAGCACCAGGAGGCGTATGTTAAGCCTGTGGAACCTGGGACATCGACAGCAAAGCCAAATATCCGTGGCAGCGAGGTAATGCTCTGTATTTGGTGTGACCAGAAAGGAATTATGTGCCATATGTGCTTATGAAAAATGGTCAGACGATCGGCAAATCTCTCTACAGATAACAACTGAGTGATTGAAGCGCGTGATTGCGGAGAAAGGCTGGATTGGGCAACCAGCCGTGGGTCACATATCTTCCAACAAGACAATGCTCGGCCCGCTTGTCGCACAAGTGGTCGAGAGAGTTCAAAAAACTCTTATAAATTTCGCTCTCCGCTCGCTGAACTTTAGGGACCCTATACCCTCATACGAGGCACGTTGTCTGCTTCTGCATCTAAAATCTATTCACAGTCGCGATGCTTATTTTTCTTGTAATTTTCTCGTTAACGTTTTGGTAGACGGAATTGATTGCCCTTCTCTCCTAGAAAGATTGTCTTTCAAATATCCCTTCACACAACCTCCGACGTGGAGCATACTCAGAAAACGATTTTCGCCAATACATATATACATACTTTTAAGTTTGCCGCAGAATTTCATTTCGCGAGGCGTTTTTACATAAATCCTCAATTCTCCCAAACATCTCCTCCCGAATTTTAAATACCAAGAAGTTGGAGAAGTAAAAAAAAATACAATTACTCAAAGGAGTAACCTGCTGCTCATCAAATCCGCTCATAATTTAACCGGCCGAAAAGCAGCAAAGGTCAGCGAGGCGACATTTTATTGCCGTAGCACGCCCCAAAACACATTTCAAGAAATTTTGCGATGCATCGTGCCACATTTGTTCGATCGATCGATTCGAATGCCACACATTGTGACAAATAAAAGCAAA